TTGCAGTCTCACCAATAGTGCATGAGAGTTCTCGTTTCTCCACATCCTTGCCAACACTTGTTATTTGTTGATTTTTTGATGATAGCCATTCTGACAGGTATGAGGTGATATCTCATTGTGGTTTTTAAAAATGTATATATTTTATTGATTATGCTATTGCAGTTGTCCCAATTTTTCCCCTTTGCCCCCTTTCCCCAGGTACCCTTTTCCCTCCAGCAATCTCCTACCTTAGTTCATGTCCCTGGGTCATACATGTAAGTTCTTTGGCATCTCCCTTTCCTATACTGTTCTTAACATCCCTCTATTTTGTGCCTACCTATTTGTACTTCTTAATCCCTGTACCTTTTCCCCTATTCTCCCTCTTCCCCCTCCCAGCTGATAACCCTCCAAATGATCTTCACATCTGTGATTCTATTTCTCTTCTGCTTGTTTGCTTTGTTTTTTTAGATTAGTTTTTGATAATTGTGAATTTGTTGCAATTTTAATGTTCATAGTTTTGATCTTTTTTCTTAAATAAGTCTTTTAACATTTCATGTACTAATGCCTTGGTGATGAGGAATTCCTTTAGCTTTACCTTGTCTAAGAAGCTCTTCATCTGCTCTCTGATTTTAAATGATAGCTTTGCTGGATAGAGTAATCTAGGTTGTAGATCCTTGCTTTTCATTACTATGAATACTTCTTGCCAGTCATTCCTTGCCTGCTAAGTTTCTTTTGAGAAATCAGCTGATAGTCTTATGAGAACTCCTTTGTAGGTAACTTTCTCTTACCTCTTTGTAGGTAGGTTCTCTCTTGCTGCTTTTGAGATTCTCTATCTTTAACCTTTGCCATTTTAATAATGATGTGTCTTGGTGTGGTTCTCTTTGGGTCCAACTTGTTTAGGACTCTGTGCTTCCTGGACTTGTATTCCTTTGCCAGATTAGGGAAGTTTACTTTTATTATTTTTTTCAATTAAGTTTTCAATTTCTTGCTGTTCTTCTAACATCCCTATGATTTGGATGTTGGTATGTTTGGAGATGTCCCGAAGGCTCCCTAAACTATCCTAGGGTTTTGGTTTTTAAAATTTTTTTTTTCTTTTTGCTGTTCTGGTTGAATAACTTCCTTATATTTTAAATCATTGATTTGAATTTTGGTTTCATCCTCTTTATTGTTGGTTCTCTGTAGATTTTTCTTTATTTCACTTAGTATAACCTTCATTTCTTCCTGGGTGTTTTTTATGCTGTTGCTGTACTCAAGTTTTTTGAGCATCCTTATCACCAGTGTTTTGAATTCTGTATCTGATAGATTTGGTATCTTCATTTCATTTAATTCTTTTTCTGGGGTTTTGTTCTGTTCTTTCATTTGGCCCTATTTCTTTGTCTCCTCAATTTGGCAGACTCCCTGTGTTTATTTCTGTGTATTAGGGTACAACTGCTTTGACTCCCTGTCTTAGTAGTGTGGCCTACTATAGAAAAGTACGCTTGTAAGTTGTATGGGGCGGAACCTTAAGAAGTTGCCAGTGTGGGGCAACCTGCTTCACCACTTTGTGGCTCTGTGGGGGGCTCGGAGAGAAGACAGTGCTGCTGCTTGGCTTCTGGAGGTTTGCCTGGCATGCTCCCCTTTTCTAGTCACTTCACTTACTCCCAGTATGCGACTGGTATCCTTCTAGCGGTTGCCCTGCTGCTGAAATCCAGAGGTGGTGGGTCTGCGTAAGTTTTATGTTTGTGTGGGCCCTTTAAGCAGAGTCTCCTGAAAATCTGACAGTTTCTTCCCTCAACCCCCACTGGTTTTTACAACCAGAAGTTATGGGGATTTATCTTCCTGGGGCTGGAATCTCTGGCTCCCAAAGCGTCCCTCCTGATTTTTATCCACCACACATGACTGTGAGACCATTCCTTAAATCCTTGGTTGTCAGACTTCTGTGCAGCTCAATTTTCTAATGGTTCTGGGTGTTATTTTGTTTTGAGGTCTAGTTTTAATTTTTTCTGTAGTTGTGTGAGGAGGCAAAGCTTGTTTACCTATGCCTCCATCTTGACTGGGAGTCTCATTGTGGTTTTAATTTGCATTTCTCTAATGATTAGTGACATTGAATATTTTTCATATGTCTGTTGGCCATAGGTGTGTCCTCTATGGATAAGTGTCTTCAAGTCCTCTGCCTGTTTTTTAAATTGGATTGTTTGTTTTTGAATGTTGAATTATATGAGTTCTGTATAAATTTTGGATATTAACCCCTTATTGGATGTATCATTGGCGAATGAATATTTTCTCTCATTCAGTAGGTTGTCTTTTGTTTTGTTGATGGTTTCCTTTGCAGTCCAGAAACTTTTGTTTAATGTAGTCCCATCTGTTTTTTCTTTTTCTTTTTTTTCCTTTGCTCCAGGATATATGTCAGAAGACATATTACTAAGAGAAATGTCAGAGAGTTTACTGCCTATGTTTTCTTCTAGGAATTTTCTGCTAGAGCCAATTTGTTGTTTAATTTTTTTCTCTATTGTATGCCATTTTCTATTTTGTTGGTTTCCGCTTTTTATATTTCTTTCTACTTGTGGGTTAATTGTACTCTTTATTTTTTTAAAGTAGGCGGTTTGGATCACTGATTTTAAACTTCTTTTTTCTAATGTGATCATGTATAGCTCTACATTTCCCTGTAAACACTGTATTAGGTGCATCTCACAAATTTTTTTGTTATGCTTTCATTCTTATTAAGGTTATTTCAAATTCACTTGGGTGCAGTTTTTAATGTTTGGATTCAAATTTAGGGATCCATCATCCTTACTGATTTTATTTTGCTTTTTAAAAATATGTATACTATTCATGTGATTTTATAAGTCAAAGACATACAAAAAGGTACAAAGAAGTGTCACTCCCTCTCTTATCTTACTTTGCTCTCAACCATCTCTAAGTAGCCACTTGGATTAGTGTCTGACTTATCCTTTTTGTGTTACCATTTGCAAAATAAACAGGTGTATGTATTTCTGGTGTTCCTCCTTTGTTATACCAAATGTAGACCGCTATACATACACTTTTTTTTCTGTTGTTACTTAATATTATATCCTTGAAATTATTTTATTCCTGGTCTATGGGTATCTTTCTTACCCTTTTTTTAACAGTTACATGTATTGTACTAGAGTTTATTCAGGCAATGTCATATGTTGTCATTAAGTAGATTCCGTGTTCCGTGCTGCAGTGAAAATATATATATATATATATAGTGCATATTTATTTTTCTTTTAATTGGAAGTATGTCTTTAGAGTAAATTGCTAGAATTGGGATTGTTGGGTCATATATGTAGTTTGTTAGAAATTGTCAAAATTCTTTCCATAGACATTATACAAAATGGTGATAGTCTATCATTAAAAAAAACCAAAAACATTTTTATTAGCTGGAAGAATCCTTTAAATTGAAACTTCTCTTCATCTATTTGGTTACCCAGCAGTATAGCTTGTGTTGGAAGAGTAAGACAAAAATTTGATTCTCTATTCATTTATTTACTAGTTTTCAAAATAATTTATTCACTAACATTTTTCAATGATGACCAGTTAGTTGTATTTTTAAAAAATTATCATTTTACCTGGCTGGCGTAGCTCAGTGGATTGAGCGTGGGCTGCAAACCAAAGTGTTTCAGGTTCGATTCCCAGTCAGGGTACATGCCTGGGTTGCAGGCCATGACCCCCAGCAACCACACATTGATGTTTCTCTCTCTCTCTCTATTTCCCTCCCTTCTCTCTCTAAAAATAAATAAATAAAATCTTTAAAAAAATTATCATTTTTGCCCTGGCTGGTGTAGCTCAGTGGATTGAGCGCGGGCTGCGATCCAGGCATCGCAGGTTCGATTCCCAGTCAGGGCACATGCCTAGGTTGCAGGCCATGACCCCCAGCAACCGCACATTGATTTCTCCCTCCCTCCCTCCCTCCCTCTCTCTGTCTCTAAAAATAAATAAATAAAAATCTTTAAAAAAATTATCATTTTAAACACCTAGATTTAAACATATTTAATGTGTTTTAATTCATTGCATTCTTTTTTTTTTAATATTTTATTTATTTATTTTTTAGAGAGGGAAGGGAGGGAGATAGAGAGAGACATACACACACATCTATGTGCGGTTGCTGGGGGTTATGGCCTGCAACCCAGGAATGTACCCTGGCTGGGAATCGAACCTGGGACACTTTGGTTCCCAGCCCGCGCTCAATCCACTGAGCTACGCCAGCCAGGGCTTGCATTCATTATTTTGATTGATGTTCCCGTTGTTCCAGTTTTGGGTGGTGACAACCTTTTTAAGTTGGCCTTTAATTTCTTTTGATGTGACCCTACTAGTATCTGATAGATTCCTTGCTCACAGATGTGACACATACTCTAGTTTATCTTTTACATGTCTAGCTCTGGACTTTGAATCAGCCATTTCGTCAAGGTATCCCAGTTGTTTTTAATGGGAAATGATGTTTGGTCATCACATTCCGGTCACTAGGGATGGTCTTTTCTGCTGGTTAAAGAAACAGTCCCACCAAGAGGATTCTGATGAGTAGAATTATTCTGTTTAAATGTTGAGCATAAAGCTACATGTGATATGTAGCAAAAGACCTGAAAGCCTTTTCCTCTATTTATTCATTCATCAAATATTTGAGTATCTACCAGTTGCCAGGCCTTCTTTTATACAGAGGTGGGCAAAAGTATATTAATAGTGGTAAATAATACAATAATTAATAAATAATATAAGAATAAACCATTTTGCATTCTTGCAACTGTAAACCTACTTTTGCCCACCCCTGTATGCTGGAGATACAACAGTGAACAAAATAGGTTAAAAACTCTACCTTCACAGGAGGTCACAGTCTAGTTAACCCAGGATTCTTATAACTTCTACTGATCTTGGCCAACACCTTACTTTTGGGGGCTTTTCTCGCTTATAAGATTATAAAATTTTATTATGTCTTCACTTGAAAAATTTAATAATTCTATTTCTTGCCTCCATGCCTATTCAATGTTTGCGATGTCCCTCCCCTCTCTTTCTTTGTCCTTTTACAGAAATGACAGAAGAAGAACAGTTTGCTCTGGCTGTCAAAATGAGTGAGCAGGAAGCTAGAGAGGTGAACAGCCAGGAGGAGGAAGAAGAGGCACTCCTGAGGAAGGCCATCGAGGAGAGCCTGAATGTAAATATGCCCTGTTGAGAGAGTTGGTGAGGACTGACAGGCACTATTCTCCTACTTCTGCAGTGTTGTGGTTGCATTGGAGCTAGCTGTAGCAGTTCATGGGGTTTTCAACCAAAAAATATTTCCTACAGTAATTTTTAAAGCCTATGTTGAGTTGTTGGTGATCCCAATTTGAAGTGCTTTGCTAATTTCGTATGAAAGAGATTTCTTGCACCTCGCAGTTGTTCAGTCTATGGTTTAAGAGAACCATAGTAGTTGGCAGCTTCTGAAAAGAATGACCTATTACCAAGACACCAAAAGGGGCAAGATAAGGTACTTATCTCCCCTGTTTTGTGGAGAGAGATCAAAGAGAATGAGAACGAGAGGTGGGTTGTGGAGAGAAAGAATGGGTAGTTCAGAATTTTTTCAAATAATGTTAAATTATGATTTGAATATGTGTAGTTGAAATTATTTTAAATGTGAAGGATATTTGCCAGTGGCAGGTCCTGAGCCATTTATGCTGTCTGCATCTCTGTATTAGGAAAGACTTTAGTGATCTAGTGCAGCACTTTGCACATAGTACTATGCATTGTAGAATTCATTTGCTTGAGCATCTGTATTTTAGAGAGGAGAATCTCTTAGGGACAGTGGCCTCCCCTTGTTGTCCTTCCTGTGACCCTTATGTCTAGCTGTTGTAATAATACACCCGGTCTGGTGTGGGATCACTTGTTTCAGAGTTGCCGGCCTTCTGATGCTTCTGCTACCAGATCTCGACCTTTGGCCACTGGACCATCTTCACAGTCCCACCAAGAGAAAACCACAGACTCTGGGACCACTGAAGGCATGTCTCCCTGTTCTGACTCCTTGTACTCATCGAGTATAACCACATCACAGGGATCTCATGCTGAGAGTAGATATAAAGAAATTCCCCAGATTTCTTTGGTGATATTAAAGAGGTTAAATCAGAAAGTAGTTGAGATCTCACTAATATCCAGCGTACTTTTACCTCCAAGGAAAAGCCAACATTTGGTTAAACCCAAAGAAGAGCCTTTTTTACCCACATTTTGTAATTCTTGGTAAGTGAGAACTTACCAAGCCCTCTTAACAAAATCAGTTTGTCCTTAGCCCTACTTTTTCTCAAATACCTACAGGCATATGGCAGCTGGTACCTCCATCACTGTTTAAAGGCTCACATATCAGTCAGGGAAACGAGGCTGAGGAAAGAGAGGAGCCTTGGGACCACACTGAAAACACTGAAGAGGAGCCGGTCTCTGGCAACTCAGGAAGCTGGGACCAGTCAAGCCAGCCAGTAGTTGAGAAAGAGAACGTTAAATGTTTTGACAGATGCACTGGCCACTTGGCTGAGCACACACAGTGTGGGAAGCCACAGGAAAGTACTGGGAGGGGATGTGATTTTCATGAAGTTGCCCAGGGCAGGGGGGACACATCTAGGCACTGTCTGTCTGCCTTGGCAGATGCACAAGGTCTCCAGAACAGGGGGGGCACTGTGCACTACTTCTGGGGTATTCCATTTTGCCCAGCTGGAATAGACCCTAACCAGTATACCAAGGTCATTCTCTGCCAGTTGGAGGTTTATCAAAAGAGCCTGAAAATGGCTCAGAGGCAGCTCTTAAAAAAAAAAGGATTTGGTGAACCAGTGTTACCTAGACCTCCTTCTCTGATCCAGAATGACTGTGACCAAGGCAATCAGGCTAGTGAAAATGAAAAAAATGAAGGTGTCTCAGAAGATACAGGAGACGAAGACAAAGAGGAGGAGAGGCAGGAGTCTAGGGCATCTGCCTGGCACTCAAAGCCCAAGAATTTCCAGGAAAGCCCAATTAAAAGCTTAAAAGAGAAACTTTTGTTGAAGGAAGAACCAACAACCAGTCATGAGGTAAGTGTCAGTGATGCTGTGATTAAAGATGATTTATTTACAGATTAAACTAAGATTTTAGCCATTCTTTTTGTGGCATTTTCCCCCTTATTTTGAACAAAACACATGCCCACTATGGAAAATTAGGAAAGGAGAAAAAAGTGTAAAGAGGAAAAAATTACCTGTAATCCCAGCATTGAGGGAGGCAATCGTTATTTTGGTGCATAAAAAATGTTCTTTCTGTCCTGGCTGGTGTGGTTCAGTGGATTGAGCACTGACCTGTGAACCAAAGGGTCTCCAGTTCGATTCCCAGTCAGAGCATATGCCTGGATTGTGGACCAGGTTAGGTCCCCAATGGAGGGGTGCCTAGGAGGTAACCACATATTGATGTTTCTCTCCATCTCTTTCTCCTTCCCTTCCCCCATCTAAGATAAATAAATAAAATCTTTAAAAAAATTTGTTTTTGCCTTGGCTGGTGTGGCTCAGTAGATTGAGCATTGACCTGTGAACCAGGGGTTTGCCAGTTCGATTCCCAGTCAGGGCACCTGCCTGGGTTGTGGGCAGGATCCCCAACTGGGGGCACTCGAGAGGCAGCCACACGTTGATGTTCCTCTCCCTCTTTTTCTCCCACCCTTTCTCTAAAAATAAATAAATAAATAAATCTTTTTTAAAAAATATTTTTTCTGTTTATTTTTTCAGCAAAATGAAAACTTTCCTATAAAAACTTTTTTCCTTTCCCCCACTTGATAGTTTATCTTAGACCTTTTCTGATTTATTAACTGTATTTGAAAACATTATGCTAAGCGAAACAAGCCAGGCAGTGAAAGACAAATACCATATGATCTCACCTTTAACAGGAACCTAAATAACAAAACAAAGAAACAAGCAAAATGTAACCAAAGACACTGAAATAGAGGACAGGCTGATGGTGACCGGAGGGGAGAGAAGAGGGAATTTAAGGGGACAGTGGGAAGGGTTCACAGGAACAAACTTAAAGGACACATGGTCATAGACTAAGGGGAGGGTGGTAATGGGAGGGAAGGGGGGAGGGTGGGAGGGGGAACTGGATTGGGAGTAAAAAGGAGAAAACTGTATATGAACAATGATTAATAAAAAAAAAAGATAATTAATTTAAAAAAAAACATTGTATCATATGAATGTACCAACATTTATTTTTGCGTGTTTTAAAATTTTTACTGTTTTTAAAAAGTTAAGTTTTTGAATGGGTAGTAGTGTTCACATGGCACAACATTCAAAAAAGATGTAAATAAAACGTCTGTCTCCTATCCCCATTCCCAGCCAACCAGTGCCCCTCCCTGGAGTCAACCTTTTTGACTAGTTTTCTAGTGTATCCTTCCAAGGTACTTTATGTAGTACAAGCAGCTTCTTTTATACAGATCATGGCATATTCTACACATTATTCTGTACTTTTTTCATTTTCTGTCTCTATGAGATCATTCTTTTAACAGTACATGAAAATTTCTCTCTCCTTTTTGGATGTGTAGTATATCATGTGTGATGAGTTTTATTTTATCCAGTTCTTCTGTTGGTGGACATTTAGGCTATTTCCAATATTTTACTATTATAAACACTATGGCAGTGATTACTGTTGATATACAAGATATTTCATTCACATGGGAGATATTTGTAGAATAATTTGTTGTAGATGTAATTGGTGGATCAGAATATGTACATGCATTTACAGTTTTATTAGCTATTGTCAAATTGCCTTCGATACAGGTTGTATAAATCTACACTCACTGCAGTATCTGAGTATAAGCTTCCCCAGTGCAGCATTATCAGGACCTCTTGATCTTTGTTAATCTGAGAGAGAAAAAATATCTCGGTGAAATCTTTTATTTTTTCTCAATGTAATCTTCATTTGCATTTTTCTTGTTTTATGTGTAGTTGAGATTTATTTGTATTTCCTTTTCTGTGTTTAGGTCTTACAGGCATTTTTCTTTTTGACAGTCTTTTTCTTAGTGGTTTGTAGGCATTCTTCATGTATGAGGGGAAGTGGGCCCTTGTGATGGGAAGTACAGATAGTTTTCCTGTTTATTTTTTCCTCTCACAATAATAGCCTATTTCCAGTTTTGCTTGTTGTAATTTTCTATAATTTACTGAAAATAGTTCCTTGTATTTTTTCTGACATGGCTAGATTGTATCATATATGAGAGCTCATAGTCAGTTTTTTTTTTAAGATTTTATTTATTTATTTTTAGAGAGGGAAGGGAGGAAGAGAGAGAGAGAGAGAAACACCAATGTGCGGTTGCTGGGGGCTGTGGCCTGCAACCCAGGCATGTGCCCTGACTGGGAATCGAACCTGCCACACTTTGGTTCGCAGCCCACGCTCAATCCACTGAGCTACGCCAGCCAGGGCAGTTTTTTGTTTTTTAATATTATAAAAGCAACCGTATAATGTCAAACTCTATAAACTGTAAATAGAAAGAGTATTCTGTTTTGTAACGATACTGTTTTTTTGTTGCTATTTCTATTTTTGGTATTGTTTTGCTGTTAATCCTATTCTGTCTGCTTTGATAAGGGTTTAGGAAATAATAATGAGAAATTTCATAGCATAATGTAGAGAGTGTGGATTTGAAGTATGAATTTTGATTTTCTTGTTTTAGTAATAACTGTGTGCCTTGTGAAGAAACCATGTAACCCCCTGAATCTGTTTTTTACATCTGTAAAATGGTAATAGCCAGTCACGCAGTTTTAATGGTTAAAGTGAATTGTATAAAATGCCTAGTATAATGCTTAAGACACTCAGTAAATGGTAGCTCTGTTACCAGGGGACCAGAAGGTCACTCACTGAGAGTACCTTTGGGGATCACTCTTTCCTAGCATCCTCTTCATCCATATTATGGGAAGATTGCTCTATGTAAAGAGAAGATATTTTTCTTTTCTTTTTATTAAAAAATTTTAAAGGTTTTATTTACTTATTTTTAGAGAGGGAAAGAGGGAGAAAGAGAGGGAGAGAAACATCAGTGCGTGGTTACCTCTCACGCCCCTACTGGGGACCTGGCCTGCAACCGAGGCATGTGCTCTGACCTGGAATCCAACCAGTGACCCTTTGATTCTCAGGCTGGCACTCAATCCAGTGAGCCACAGCGGCCAGGCCAGAAGGCATTTTTCTTAAGAGTACTTCTAGTGACTTGCCTTTTTTCCAAATGAAAGGTTATGCTTATAATAACATTTCATTTCTTAGTTTTTTTCAATTTAGAGATGCTTTCCCATAAAAGAATAAACTAACTCCACAATGATTTACTGTAATTCAAGTTAGCTTGAAAGATTCCCGGGGCCAGTGTTATAGAGCATAGGCTTGTCAAGTTCTGAAGTTTGGAAGGAGTGCCTTTGGAATAGTGTGGGTGTGGTCAGACCCTAGTGGCTGGCCTTATTATTAGATTGAAGGTCTTTTCAATTAGCAATAATCGCGCCTCGGATAAACCTCATTGGCTACGATACTGCCACTGCGCAAAGCTAGATTGAAGGTCTTTTACTTCATGAACAGGCTGCAAAATGCTACAAATAGTATTAATTCAAACTATTTGGCTACAACTCAAACCAAGCTGTCTTAATTAAAAAGAGGACTTTATCATAAGGAAACATGCTACCTCATAAATTCTAAAACAGTATGGTAACCAAGCCCAGAGGAGGTACTGAGTTTAGAAAATCATCTGCAATTGGGTCTCAATGCTGTATTGTATCTGTTTCATTTTCCCTCCTGCAGACTGTCTTCCTTTGCTTCTCTGTTTCACATGGTAGGTGAAAATGCTGATCCCACAGCCCTCAAACTTAAATACAGATTATAGGAGATTTTCTCTCTCCCAGTTCAATTTCAGATTTCTAGAAAAGGAATTTAAGGCCTATTTGAGGTTAATAGCCCTCAGCTGTCAGAGGCCTGTAGCGGGCATGTGTCATGTTGTGCAAATGGCTGTGATGCTGTAGTACAGTCTGGGCGCTGAGGGGCAGTCATCAGTAACAGGAGACTGGGCAGACAGCCTGGTGAGTATCCAGGGTGGTCATTAATATTAATTTTAGAGGTCACTTAGAAGTATTGAAAAATGCTGAAAAGTTTGAATAAAGTTGGAAGCATCCACAAGCCTACCATTTAGAGATGTAACCTTGTTCTTTTTCTAGACCTTTTTTATATGGTTTAAATAATATTTTTGTATTTTAAAGTTAACATGTAAACATTTTCTTGTGTTAAAATTATAGATTTTTTAAGTGATTATCTAATTTTCTGGCTTAGGAATTTACTGTAATATTTTAACTATTTTCCTATTGCCAGATATTTTGTCTGTGATAAACATCTTTCTAAAAACTTTTCTTTATTTAAAAGTAGTGTTAGGAATAGAGAATGAGGAAAAATGCTGGGTTAAAGAGTTATGAATGTAAGAAAAGATTTGTTTGTTATTTATTGTCAGATTGCTTTTCAGAAATGTCACTCAGATTGTACTTCTTCCAGCAGTGTACCAGAATACCTCCTTCACTGCAGCCTTGCCCACATAGAACAGTATCTTTAACAAACCTACAGCAATGAACTTACTAATTGTGTAGACAAATAATGAAAGAGCTATGATTGTAATTTCACCTTCTGTCTTGGTCTTTAGGAACTGTGGGTAGAAGGAATTTATGATTTTGTTAAATATTTTCTATTGATTTTGGCTTTGATGAAATTGCCCACATTTGAGACAACTTGGTAGAGACAACAAGACAGTTCCAGAAATAATGATTCAGAAAAACATTCACCCTGGGGCAGATTGCTTACATAAAGGTTATAAAAGCTTTAGAATTGGATGATAACTGGTTTCTGGCATCACCAAAATAATAAGGAAATTGTTAATGAAGATGGAGAGTTTATTTTGATGACTGTACAGCAAGGAAGTGGAGAGGTAGTATACTAATGTGGTCTTAATTTTAAGTGTCTGATCATTAATTTTTTTAGTTCATATACTGGAATTTGTTGCCCAGGAAGGATCAAATTGTGTGGGGGTGTGGAGACTGACTTTGACTAGCCAAACTTCAAACCAACTTGTACACCAAGTGACAGTTTGTTAATTTATTGTTGAAGAGAGACATTTATGGTGACTGGAATACTCCAGTCTGTCATCTACTGTCATCTCCTTCTAGAATGAAGGGTGTGGAAAACTGAAATAGTAATCACAAAATGGAAATTTTAAGGGGTGATTCAACTTGTCTATTGAAAGACTTGATAAGCTACCAGTGCCTGCCAGCTGAGGACATTTTGATGGTGACCAGATGATGTGTTTGTTCACTCTGTTCACTTCTGCTTCCCAGGCCATGATATTGAAGACACTGCTTGATTCTGGGTCTTTCCTTTTTTTTTTTTTTTTTGAAGATCTTTTTGTAAACTATCATGTTCCCATTAACATATTTCTTCAGGCAGAGTGCTGTGTCTTGATTAGGCCACTGTTCCCTTAGTTAAAGTCACATTGCTGTTGTGCTTTTTTCTCCATCTCGATTAAATTTGGTATTCAAATAGAATTTTGTTTGCTTGATTTACTATGTTATTTTCCTGTTCTGGAAGAACCTCACTTTATCCCATCTTCAGATTGCTGCTATTAAGGTATACATTTAGAAATTAAAAATGATTTATTGAAATGAAGCCCTGGCTGGTGTGGCTCAGTGGACTGAGTGGCCTGTGAAGCAAAGGGTCGCTGGTTCAATTCCCAGTCAGGGCACGGTCACATGCCTGGGTTGTGGGCCAGGTCCCCAGTAGGGGGCACGCAAGAGGCAACCACACATTGGTGTTCTCTCCCTCTCTCTCTCCCTTCCCTTCTCTCTAAAAATAAATAAATAAAACCTTTAAAGAAAAAAACAAATGAAGACTTTCTTGGGATGTGTTAACATGGTTGGGAAGACGATCATTTGAGTAAACAACGTAACAGTAGTGGTTAGAGTATGGATTTGGGAGTTAGGTCCCAGTTCTATTTTTGACCAAGTCTGGTTTTGGGCAAATTATGTAACCTAACTTTCACTTTCCTCATTTCTAAAATAATTTGATCATTTTCCTTAAAAATTTCTTGTGAGAATTAAAGGAGATAATGCATATAAGTGATTGTCATAGGCCTGGCATATAATAGGTACACAATAATCTTTTTTAAAAAAATTTACTCTGGGCCCAGGCTGGCGTAGCTCAGTGGATTGAGTGCGGGCTGCGAACCAAAGTGTGGCAGGTTCGATTCCCAGTCAGGGTACATGCCTGGGTTGCAGGCCATGACTCCCAGCAACTGCACATTGATGTCTCTCCTTCTCTCCCTCTCCCTCTCTCTCTCTCTCTCTCTCTCTCTCCCCCCCTTCCCTCTCTAAAAATAAATAAATAAAATATTAAAAACAAAAAAACCACAACTTACTCTGGGAAAGGTAGACACACTTTTTCCTGAGGTGGAGGTATCTTGTAACTTAGTGTCTTTTGATTGCTTCTGAAATCCAAGGCTTAGTCAACAAATCATTCTAAGAAGGTAAAATTCTATTAAATGGACACTAGGTGTCAGTATTTACCTTTTTCTGATATTTCAAGAATGAAACAGGTCTCTCACTACTGAGTTCAAACTAATAGGCGAAGTATTTGTTATAGTTGTGTTTTAGTACTTTTGGCAGTTTTGTCTAACCCTTATTTTTGCTTTTTTTAAAAAAGAGATTTTATTTATTTATTCTTAGAGGAGAAGGGAGGGAGAGAGGGATAAAAACACTAGCATGCAAGAGAAACATCAATTGGCTGTCCCCAACCAGGGACCTGGGCTACCACCCAGGCATGTGCGCTGCACATGAATCAAACCAGTGATCCTTTGGTCTGTGGGATGACGCTCAACCCACTGAGCCACACCAGTCAGGGCTCAACTCTTATTTTGATAATGGCTGCATTCCTGACAGTTTTATCTTCCCTTTGACTGAAGGGATTCCTGTTTTTTAGTATATTTCATCATTTACTTGAGTGGTGGAGAGATGCCTGACTTGGTTTGGGTATTTATACCCTGCTAGAAGACCCTGTAAACTTCAGCCAGTAGTTTTACAGCTATTGGAAGAAGCCTTATAGCCCAGGCACTTCCTTAGAGTCCACCTACGTCAGCAGTAGCTGCTTTTTCTGTGCTCTTTTGTGTACCTGCATTTAATGAGTTGACATCACACAACTTTACCATTAATCAGAGAAAATAGTCTTTTCCTTACCTAGTTTCTGTTTGTTATGTTTCTTAAAAGATTTCCCAGAATTCAAAACCATTATGGCAGATTTCTAGTAAAAGGAATCTTTTTTTCAAAACCTCACTCGAGGATATGGTTTTATTGATTTAGAGAGAGAGAGGAAGGGAGAAAGAGAAACATTGATCAGTTGACTCCCATATGTGCCCTGACCAGAGATTGAACCCACAACCTTTTGATGTATGGGACAATGCTCCAACTAACTGAGCCACCTGGCCAGGGCGAGTAAAAGGAATCTTTATAACTTTCTTTTTGGGATGTTTTGTGTTGTGACTCCGTTGTGCCCAGAGAGACGTCTTTCATGGATTACAGTGTTTTTCCCAACCTAGTGTTTCCACTGAAAACTGAACTTTTCTTTCTTTCTCTTCCTCCCAGAGCAAAAGCTTTATAACAGCTTTTCTGAAATCATAATTCATTTGACTTACCAATTGATATTTATGTCTTACATTCATGAAGTGCATTGCATATCTTACCTGGTTCAATTTTCACAACATTCTTTGAAGCAATTCTTAATACCCATTTTAAGATGAGGAAACAGATTCAGGTGTGACTTGACCGAGATTACAAAGTTTATAGAAGATTCACCTGTGATTTAAATCTCAGTCTTTTTACTCCACAAGATATGCTCTTTTTACTGAGGCTTGCTGACAATATAAAATGTTATTCTTATTGCTATCTGCTGAGTGGTAATCTTGAACAATTAATTTTTTTTAAAAGAAAGAGAAACTGGTTCATCTGTGCTTGTATATCTAATAGGTGTCATGTGTTTTTCTCTGTAGTCTTCCCAAGGGCTGTTTGCGGAGGAAACTTCAGAAGAAGGAAACTCTATACCTGCCTCTCAAAGGTGAGATTACGTGTTGTTATGGGTCTGAACTCCCCTCTGACAGTGCCGGGGTACGAGATAAACCACCTGAGTGAGCCTGGGGGATCAGCTTGCTGGGGACCTTTTTAGCTCTTTTATAAGCACAGACTAGGAGATACCTTTATCTCCCAGTTCTTATACGTGCATCATATAGAAGCCTAGAATATTTGGGTGGAAGAAATCTTGGTTTATCTTGTCCAATCCAGCCATTTAGTGCAAATCCCATTTACACTTTCTGAAAAGTGGTTATATCCTGCTACTCTCTGAACCAACTATGCTAGCTTCCTAAGCCAATGTGAAGGCTGTAAGCTGATTTCTTTATGATCTTCTAGTCCTCCTATCTCCATTGTTCCCTCTACTTATGCTTATTTTGTCTGCATGTCTAAACAGTATACATCTTTTAAGTCTACTCTTAAGACTTTCCTTTTCTTTGAAGCATTCATATTATTCAAGCCACATGGAACCTGTACCAATCTCGCTCCCTGTCTTATGCCACTTTTCATTTGTTTGTATCTCATCTTTCCCTTGTACTTGTATTACCTCCTTAATTATTCTCACTGATTGATTAATGGGATTACTTTCTTAGGTCTTCTTACTTTAATATGTAATAGTTGATTGGTTATAAACTGTAATATTAACTGGATCAAGCTTCCAGTTACTTTTCCCTTTATCCGTAGTTGACCTTCTGGGATTACTCAAAGCTTAATCTTCTTGTGCTGAGTGACCTTCATCACCCATATGGAAGTTGAGGCCCAGTTGCCTTTTGCTGTAATTTAGTCGGTGTTCTTAGGTTTTTGGTTAATGGTACTAGGTATTTCTTCCTGAGCTGAAGAATATGGCTTTGGTGTGAGTCTCTTGATGTTAAGATGTTTTGGAAGTGGTTTTAACTGGAGTAGGGCTTCTGCTTCCTGCAGGCCTCTCTGCTTTATTGTAGTGAGCCTTGTGCAGAGCAGATGAAGGTTTTAATAAATGATTATACGCTTTGTCACCAGGAGAGAGCTGGAATTGCAGGCAATGCGGTTTGACTTCAAATTGATTAGCCCATTTTATAAATGTCAGCAAGTTGTTTTGTGATGGACCCTTTGAATAGAGCCCTAATGTTACATACAGAGTAAACGGTGTCTGGCTTGGGTTTATAACAAATGCTATGAAATGTTTTATTTAGACAGAGAAATCACTTGTGGTTTCCCATCAGGATTTAGTTATTTGTCATGAATCAGTGGTGGTTATTTTCTCTTCTCTGTGGTTCTTGGTTGATGTGAGGATTTGTGTCCTCTTGCACACTTGATCAAACTAATCATAAAGCTCTCTGAAGCATGAGGGGGCTAGCTCTGATGCTCTGATCTCTCAGCCATGTGTTCCTGTGTCAGGAAGAGATTGCACTCCATGAGCAGACAGGGTAAACCAGAAGATCGGATGGGGGGAGCCATTCATAATTATGTTTTTCTCAGAAGAAATAATCAATTTTTACGGGCAGATTTTTGCTGTAGGGCAGTTTGGAATTGTGTCTTGTTTTTGTGGCCTACAAAGCCACATTTTGAGGAAAGAGAAAATTTAACTGCAAGGTATGGGAGAAGCTAGTATGTTGTCAGGAGAATCTCTGTATTTTGTCTTACACATTTCCAGATCTCTAGTCTTCAGAAGGCTGAAATGGGTCTGAAACACCTTTGACATCTTTGTACTGAAATGGAGTTTTTGTCTTCTGCGGTATTCATAGATAGTGCTTACCCTTCAACCTTCCTTTGTGAAGACTCCAAAAGGGGGTTCTTTTCATTCTTTGGTTTCACTGGAACCAAAGTTGTAAGCATGTTTATTTCCCCTGTTTCTGGTCTGGAGTTTTCACTACTGATTCCTTGCTTCCTTATTGTGCTTTTGAGGTAGTGGATCACAGGTATCAGATTACCTTTGGCATTGTGAATGACTCACCATTGCTCTAGGTGCTGTGTTCTGATTTATTTACCTAAGAATTCACTTGGGGTTTGGTTCTTTTTCAGCATTGCTGCTTTGGCCAGTAAGAGTTTAGTCCTTATGCCAGAGAGTTCTGCCGAGGAAATCACTGTGTGTCCTGGTAAGCATCCCACTGTGATTTTACTGAATTTTGGATCTCTAGCTGTCTTTGTGCCTATTTATTTGTCTGACTTTTCCATCCCACTCCCAGGGAGTTTTATTTGTGTTGGGTGTGTGTGTGTGTGTGTGTGTGTGTGTGTGTGTGTCACCACACACATACATATGTATACCCTCCACACACACACTTTTTATGAGTGAACATTGGCTATGATTCTCAACCTTTTCTCTTAGAGATATTTGAGTTTTGAAATTAACATAGCTCCTTTGTCGTGTTTGCGACCAGCCTCATCAGAGATGGCAGCAAAGCATCAGCAATAGTACTTAATTGTACATTCAGAGCCAAGAGGACTTTATGTTTTGGTTTATGGATTCTCAAATTTGGGCTGTCCTTAAATCTCCCTGACATTGAGCACATTTTTCTCAGAGGCTTTCACTAATTAGTTTTACATTGCCATTCACAAGATCTTATTGCATAGCGAGTCGAGAAATTGCATTTTGTGCACAGTTCTGTCTTTGACTTATATTTTAATCTCAGACAAGATACTTAACCTGGTTAAGTTTTGCACTTTGCTTTTTGTTCTTTGCAGAGATGAAAAGATGTGTATCTTGCTTTAGATACAAGAGCTGTTCATTCAAAGATGCACATGCATAGATTTTGATATACAAATAATTTTAGATGAACTAAGATATGCATGATTTAAGAGAACTCTTGGGTTGAATCATTCTGTACAATGAAGAATTACTTTATGACATGAACCATTACTTTTTTAGCAATTTGTTTTAGCTTGTATTTTTTTTTTTCGGCTTTTCTTAAAAGTGGAACCCATTATATTTTTTAGTAACCTCATTCATGTGAGACTGAGGGACTTCCTATTAATGTTTAAACTCTTGGGCATTGTACAAATATTATCATTAATCATATCTAGTTTTCTCCTAGGTCTTATATAACCTGTTAGGGTCAGAGAGACTAGTATAAAATAAGTTTGAGTTTCTGTGGAAAAAACCTGAAAGAAATCAAAATAAGAAAACTGTTAAGTCCTGTAAATATTTTAAAGTATTTGACAGCATATCATTAAGGTCTTCTTTACTCATTTTAAAGTTTAACTGTGTTGGTGTTTATTGAAAATGATTTCTTAATTCATTTGAAATGTATTTATTTGGATTACTGCCTACTCAGAAACCCCACTATCAAGTGCTCCAATTTTGGCAGGAACACTTAGGAATGCTGTGCCATCTTTGAGAAAAGAAAGCTTTGCCCCCTTTCTGTGTGGGGCTTCTGACTTATGCCATTCTGCTTAGAGTCACTCAGTCTGCCTGTTTGGGATGAAGGCATGTGATAGCACCCTGGGATCTTGCTGGAGGAACCTGCAAATACAATGATCTTTAAAACCCTAGTTAGTGAGAGAGGGAAAAACAAGACCTTTATGACTGAGGTTAGGTGACTTTTACATCATGACTTGTTCTCATTACCCTGCTAATTAAGTCCACCTGTTTGCTGACACAACCACTTCTAAATGAGATTGCAGAAGGTTTTCATAACCTGTTCCTTTTGCTAAGAAAGTATAACTCCTTCTCCGTGGAGCCAGACTCCTGAGTCTCTAAATACATAATTCTCCTCAGTATGTAATTTAAAAGCTGTGCATTTGAATTGTCTGAAAACTTTGTTCTAAACAAGTGAAACACAGATTGAGTGTAGTAGTCCATCTTACCTATTTTATTTTACATATTTTTGACAGTTCCAGGGGCCTGATATTCAAAATTACAACATCCTTTTAGAGTTAGTCACTTCGTTGAAGAAGCAGAAGTTTAGCCCTATGTCCACATTGTATATGATACCAGCATTGTTTATTTCTGAGGAGCTAATGCCCTTTTAAGTTGTCTTTACATTTGAGCATTCCACCTTTTACAGAAAGCTTAATTAGAGTCTTTATATTATTACAGTAGAGCAGGCAGTGAGCAGCTGTTATTTTTGATAGACTCTGTCTCTTTTGGTAATTAATATCTCTCAGGGAATCTTGACAGATTTTGAAGTTTATGCACTATAATCTTTTTTCCAATAAAGTGGTAAGATTGTGTGTGTATATATCCAATCTTCAAAAATTATGGTTTATTAAAATATGTTTAATACTAGAAATGCATTTAATCCTTCTTTGATGATTGAGGAGATACCTCAGTGTCTGACAGGTAGTTTATTTGCCCATCATCAACCACTCATTGTATTTGAGAAGCACAGAAGTACCAGTTAGATGTACAGTGTGTATAGTGTAAATAACAGTGGAATTGTGTTCTGAAATAAATTTCTTCTCCAGATTTATTATCCTTCTTTGAAATATAGTTACTGCTCTTTTGTTAAATTAAGAGATAGGGGTCTAGACCAGAGGTTAGCAAACTTTTCTATAAAAGACTAAATAGTAAATATTAGGCATTGTGGGCCATGCAGTCTCTGTTGAAACTACTCAGCTTTGCCATTTTAGCACATAAACAAACATAGACAATACAAGGAAGAATGAGTGTGGCTGTGTTCCAATAAAAATGTATTAACAAAACCAGGCAGCTGGCTGAGTTTGGCCCATGAGCTATATAGAATGCTGACCCCTGAACTGTGACAATGAGGGGCCCCCATCTTTCATCTCCTTATTTGTAGTAGCCTGTAAAGTGCCTGGAGCTTGGTGAATAAATATTTGTTGAATAATGGTGAATGAATAGATGCTGCTTGAAGAATGTATTAAAGAAAGGCATATCCTTGTTGAGAATGTATTTTCTATTTCTGCTTCCAGTTTTTTGTCATCTCTAATCATCCCTTTGACCTCAGAACTAACATTGTCAGGTTTTTGTTTTCTGTCAAAATAAATATACTTTAAAACCAAAAGCCAGGTGGATCAGGTGATGAATGGATAAACAAATGGATATACCCACACAGAGGAATACTACTCAGCAGTAAACAGGGATGAACTTCTGATACATGTGACAACAGGGATGCCTCTCAGACACATTATGCTAAGTGAAAGAGGTCAGACACAGAAGATGACACACCAGATGACATTCTAGAAAAGGCAGAACTATAGCAACATAAAGTAGATTGGTCAGTGCAAGGAGCCAAGAGGGAAGGGATTGACTACAAAGGGTACCCTTTTGGGCTGCTAGAAAGGGAGAACTTTTTGGGGTGTTAAAATATTTTATATCTTGATTGTGGTGGTTAATTACGTGGTATAAAGGATACATGTATAAGTTGTATAAATTTGTCAAAACTCATCAAATTATATACTGAAAATTGGTGAATTCTGTATGTAAATTATGTGTCAGTAAAGCTTTAAAAAGAAACAAGCTGGATCGATATGGCTACCACTGTATTATCATACCCTAAACTTTAGGGAAGATAGGTGTGTTTTTTTTTAATTTTTAAAAAATATTTTATTTATTTTTAGGGAGATGGGAAGATAGGGAGAAAGAGAGGTAGAGAAACATCAACGTGTGGTTGCCTCTCTCATGCCCTGAACTGGAGACACGGCCCACAACCCAGGCATGTGCCCCGACTGGGAATCGAACCTTTTGGTTCACAAAGCGGCACTCAACCCACTGAGCCACACCAGCCAAGGCAGGTGTTTGTTTTTTCAACAGTGAAAATACAAAATGAAAATTAATGAGATTTACATTTTTTTAATTACAGAGACACAGCTAAGTTCCCCTGAAACTTTTGACCTTGAAAGAGAAGTCTCTCCAGGTAGCAGAGAGTCCCTGGATGAAGTAAGAATAATAATGGCAGATAAGGAGGTGAATATTCTCTCTAATTTTTCTCAGTGTTTTCTTTATATTGGTAGTCCTCTGTCTGATGTCACATTGACCTTGACTGAAAAGGTTTAGATGATGGGGTTGTAGCTTTTGGGACACTTATCTTGAAGAGGTTTCTTACAGTTAAGTTCAGCATTGTTTCTAAAATTAACATAGTTTTTTGTGAGTACTTTAATATGCTTTATTATTTCTGTTACAGATGGGGAATTTGAGGCTGAAGGTGTTTAAGTAATTCAAGTTCAAACTGCTAATAATGGTAGAGTTAGAATTTAAACATAGATTTGCCTCTAAATCTGGGATATTTTCCATTATATACTGATAAGTAATAGAGATGAACAGTTTTGAAAATAGTCACTATATTTACAAGATCTGTTCAGAAGGTATCCAGCCATGTAATATGAATAAATAGACATTTATTGAAGAAGATACAAGAAACACTTTACACAGGACAATGACACCACATTCCCCTTCAAAGTAGGCATCTTGGGACCTCACACAGTTCTTCCAATCGCCATCAGCTGCCCTGTTGTATTTTCCTGAATCTCATCGATGGTCTGATCTCTTTCCTTTCACAGGTGATTTTTAGTTTTTAGAAAAGCCAGAAGTTGCAGGGTTCTAAGTCTGGGCTGTAGGGGGGCTGAGTCATCTGGATGACTTGATGTTTTGCTGAAAAACTCTGCATGAGCTGTGATGCATGAGCAGGCATGTTGTCATGATAAAGCTGCCAATCACCAGTTGCCCATATAGCTGCCACCTTCTGAATCACCCAGTAGTTTCCACAGGGAAACATTTAAACTTGATGCAAAATTTGATGCAGATTCAATGCTCTACTTACTTAGTCATTTTGAATGCGACAGCCGCACAGTACACGTGCTCACTCAATGCTTTCTACTGCCCTCACTGACTCGAAAGGTGATGTCTTCATTGTTCACACATGTGCATTCCAATCCACTCTCCTTGGATGCCAGGTTACATTGACATCGCACAAACTGTTCTTGTTATATTAACAATGGTTGGACTTTTTCCAGACAGGCCTAACATATTATGAGATAACTAACTTTCAGCCCTAATTCTAGGTGTGATCAGAAATGCAAAGTTAGAACAGCAGTGTGATAAAATAAGCAAGTCTCTATTTGTAGTATGACCTTACCTAACTTCACATATCTGGCTTTAATTGTAAACCTGATTGATACAGGTTTATACTTTTTAAAAAAATTTAAGTCACTTTAATTTTCCAGTTACAGTTGATGTACAGTATTATATTAGTTTCAGGTGTACACCCAAATGATTAGACATTTATATAATTTACTATGTGAGTCAGGGTTTCATACATAACAGAGCAGCTCCTTCACTGCCGTCTATTGAAAGTTAGCCCTTGACATGGGTTTGTAAAAAAGAAAAAAGAAAAGGAAAAAAAAAAAACTTACTTAGTGATCATTCTGATAAGTCTAGTACCCACCTGACACCATACATAGCTTAGAGCAGGGGTGTGAAACTCATTTTCCCCTGTGGCCACATCAGCCTTGAGGTTGCCTTCAAAGGGCAGAATGTGATTTTAGGACTGTGTAAATGTAACTACTCCTTAACAGTTAAGCGAGAGAGCTCGTAGGCGGGGTCAAAACAAGGTGCTGGCCAGAATTGTCCTGCGGGCCTTGTGTTTGCCACCTGTGATTTAGAATACTATTGACTGTATTCCCTGTGCTGCACTTTATGTCCCCATGACTATTCTGTAAGTATCAATTTGTACTTCTTAATCACTTCACCTTTTTCATCCATCCCTCCAACCCTCTTCCCCATCTGGCAACCATCAAAATATTCTCTCTATGAGTCTGTCTCTGTTCTGCTTGGTCATTTATTTTGTCTTGTTTTTTAGATTCATTTGTTGATATATATGTATTTATTGCCATTTTATTGTTCATATTTTAAATCTTTTTCTTCTTAAAGAAAACCTGTTAACATTTCATGTAATACTGGTTTGGTAGTAATGAACTTCTTTGGCTTTTTCTTGTCTGGGAAATACTTTATCTGCCCTTCCATTTTAAATGGTAGCTTTGCTGGGTAGAGTAATCTTGGTTGTAGGTCCTTGCTTTTCATCACTGAATATTTCTTGCCAGTCCTTCTCTAGTGTGCAAAGTTTCTTTTGAGAAATCAGCTGACAGGTTATGGGAGCTCCCTGGTAGGTAGGTAACCGTCTTTCTCTTGCTGCTTCTAAGATTTTCTCTTTGTCTTTAACCTTCAGCATTTTAATTGTGATATATCCTGGTGTGGGCCTCTTTGGGTTCATCATGTTTGGGACTCTGGGCTTCCTGGACTTTATGTCTACTTCCTTCACCAGGTTAGGTAGGGAAGTCTTCTGTCATTTTTTCAAATAGGTTTTCAATTCCTTGTGCTCTCCTTCTGACACCCCCATGATGTGAATGTTGGAATGCTTAAAGTTGTCCCAGAGGCTCCTTACACTATCCTTACTTTTTTTGGATTTTTTTTCTTTCTGATTGGGTGTGTTTTGTTTCCTGATATTCCAAATCACTGATTTGATTCTCAGCTCCATCTACTCAGCTAATGTTGATTTCCTGGAAATTAGTCTTCATTTCAGTTACTGTTTTCTTCATTTCCAATTGATTCTTGTTTATGGTTTCCATGTCCTTTTTTATGCTGTTGAAGTTATCTCAAGTTCACCTACTCTTCCCCTCAGTTCATTGAGCATGTTTATAGCTGGTGTTTTGAACTCTGCATCGGGAGATTGCTTGTCTCTTGTTTTATTTGCTCTTTTTCTGGTGTTTTGTTATTTTCTTTTCATTTTAGACATGTTTGTCTCATTTTAGCAGCCTCCCTACATTTGTTTCTATGTATTAGGTTGAGTTGCTTTGCCTCCCAGGCTGGGCAGAGTGGTCCGATTTAGTAGGTGTCCCATAGAGTCCAGTGACAGTGGCACAGCCTTCCCTGATCTCCAAAGCTGGGCACTCCAATTGCAAGCTCCCTTCCCCCTACCCACATGTAAGCTGTGTACATCTTCCTGTTGTAGTTGAGCCTTGATTGAAGGTGGCATGCCAGTGGGAGGGATTTACTCCCAGGCTAGTCCCCTGCAAGGACAGGCTGCAACCACTGTGGAGGATCAGCTGTGCAGGGACCTGCCCCACAAAGCAGGACTTACTTCTGCAGGGCTATGGTGCCCACTGAATCTGCCCCCGAGTGTGTCGCTGTGGAGGTTGTTGGGCAGTGTTTTGATGTGGTCTGATGCTGTCTACCTGGTGCGTTGGCTCTGGGGCCTCCAGGGAGGTGTAGCCAAGGTCAGCCATTCCCTGTAGTCTGCCCATGGCCACCCAGCTTGAGCTACAAAGCATCTGTAGTGGCCTTCTACTTGTGCTGGGCTTGGAGGTGCCCAGGAGAGTCTAAGCTGCCAATCATGGTCGGCTGCTGCTAGTGCTAGGCCTGGGACCACTTAGTGAGAGGTACAGGACTCTCTGAGGCCAGATTCTGCTTGTTTGAGAGATTTTAGGAAAGTCTGAAGTGTGAGCCAAGACAGCCAGCCCATTTGTATGTAAAAGACACTGGAAAACAGCTTGGGTGGGCCCACAAGTTGGGTGGCAGGGTCTCAGGGAATCATCAGGGTGGGACAAACAGTGATAGCCAGATTCATGGGGACCCAGATATGGTGCCCACCTGCCAGGTCTGTGGTGAGGATTCTCAGAAAAGAAATAATGGCCTGTATAAACACTTCTGTCTGGAAAAAAGTTGTCCCTCAGCTCTTGCCCTGATGCCTGACATTTCAGTTTTTCTCCACATGTCCTTGTGCTTTCTGAGCTGCTATCTCAGCGCTGGAGCTCAGAGGGAGTGAGTCAAAATAAATCTTTGTGCCAGCCCTTTAAGAGGAACCCTCTGTCTCACTCAGCTTCAATTCCCACTGATTTTTACAGCCAGAAGTTTTGGGGAATTTTCTTCCCAGCACTGAAACCTTGGGCTTGGGGGCCTGTTGTGGGTCTGGGACCCCTTGCTCCTCAAGTGAGATATCCACAGCTGAGATATCCCTCCTGATTTTTATCTGCCACATGTGGGTGTGGGAGCAGCCTGTTCTGCATCTCCACCCTTCCTACCTGTCTTGATGTGGCTTCTGTTTTCTTTCTTTTTTTTTTTTTTTTTTAAGTAGACAGTGGAAGGGAGGGAGAAAGAGAGGGAGAGAAACATCAGTGTGTGGTTGCTTCTTGTGAACCCTCTACTGGGGACCTGGCCCGTAACCCAGGCATGTGCCCTAACTGGGAATCAAACCAGTGACCCTGTGGTTTCCGTGCCGGTCCTCAATCCATTGAGCTACACCAGCCATGGCGATGGGGCTTCTTTTTTAAATTGCTAGTTGTAGGACTTCTGTTCAGCTAGATTTCAGTCAATTTTGAATGATGCTTATTCTTTAATTTAGTTGTAATTTTGATGTATTGTGGGCAGAGGTAAGTACCATGTTTTCCTATGCTACCATCTTGATCAGAAGCCCAAATTCATGCTTCTGATGAAGATTCTCAATGTTTATTTTTCATATTTGAGTCTGATAAAACATTTAATTATAAGACAATAATTTTTTTAAAACAATTTTATTTATTTATTTTTAGAGAGAGAGGAGGGAGAGAAACATCTACTGGTTGCCTCTTGTGTGTCCCCAGTTCGGGACCTGGCCCACAACCCAGGCATGTACCTTGACTGGGAATTGAACCAGCAACCTTTTGGTTTACAAGCTGACATTCAATCCACTGAGCCACACCATCCAGGGCAAGAATTTTTTTTTTAAAAGAACTTTAAGTCTTTAAAATCTGTTATTGTGAAGGCAGCCTGAGAATTAAACTAGTATTTCTGTGGAAATAAAGGTTTTGGTTACATTTGTTTATACTATCTTGTTCTGAGGACCTTAAAAGGGATTCATCCTCTTATTCCTTTTTATATTGTAAGTTTTTTTAAAAACAGTTTTTGCAGTTGAAGTTAGATCCCCTCCCTGTTTTCTGCACTGCAGATAACCGGGTAGAAATGCTGCTTTCATGAATCATGCACATTGCTTAGTTCCCTGGAACCTGATCTGTCACAGCTGACAGACCCAGATTCCCTGATGCCAGTGGTGATAGAAAAGATGATGACACTCCCTGCAGCACAGAGCAACTGAGGACAGATCCTGAGAGATAATGTCAGAATGGCCTCAGGTCCTTTTCCTAATGAGGGACCAGAACCTTCTAAATAGAGAGAGGGGGAACAGAGTGTTATTGACACAGTCATTTTAATGTGTAGAAGAAGCTCTGCAAGCCTTTGGTTACTCAAGCCTGATTTTTACCCATGCATGCCTGCAAAGGAGACTGTTCTTTGTTTGGGGTAAAGAGCATGAACACTGTTTAGAATTTATAGTATGTACATCTGCATCACTGCACATCAAATGGATGGAATTGTATGGTCTTTCTCACATTGAATGTCCTCCTTTTGAATTGCTGTTTGCTGATATCTGTGGATGTTTGTAGTCTTAGAAGTTTTCATTAAAAGAAACTGGAGATAGTGTAGTGTTTAAGTTGTTGAGTAATCACTTCCTAGTTATGTAAGTCACTTATTAGAAAGATAGAATCTGTACATTTATGTACACAAAGATAGTATAATGGGTATGTACTCTTGCCCTTGGAATCTCTGTATAGGATCGTTTTTCCTGGGTTTTCTTGTTTATTGGTAAGTTGTATGGTATAGTGCAAGTGTAGCTTGAGCATTGAAATTAGAAGACAGGGCTTTGAATACCAGTCTTACCACTTAACTCCGTGACCTTGCACAAGTTATTATTTTTTTTTTTCATCTTCACCTGAGGGCATTTTTTTTCACTGCTTTTAGAGACAGAGAGAAACATTGACTAGTTGCTTCTGATATATGCCCAGATCAGGGATTGAACCTGCAACCCAGGCATATCCCTTGACCAGGAATCAAACCCATAACCTTCTGGTTACAGGATAATGCTTCACCAATCTGAGCCACACTGTCCAGGGCTGCACAAATTATTTAATTAATCATTTTAGTCATTAGCAGATATTTATAATTAGTATACTGGATCTAGTCATTGTTTTGGACTCATGAGACATACAATTAAATAAGAAAAAAAACAGTCCATGTTTTCAAAGAGCCCTGCTAAGGGAGGAGACAGATATATAAACAGAAAATTATAATTTTCATGTGGTCTGAGAAATACAGTGATAGAGAGAGGCTTAGGTCATTAGGGGAGCACCAAATAGGAATGCCTTTCCGAACTTCAGTTTCTCATATGTAAAATGGAGATATCCACTGGGTTTTTCTGAAGATTAAATTAGGTGAAGACTATAGTAGGGATTTGGCAGAAGTATGCATGTGGAACTAGTTATTATTTTACTGCTTTGTAATGTATTTGTGGTTGTTCAGTGATATTACCTTACTAATGGCAGCAAATTGCTCGACAGCATTTGAGTATTTGGAGTACCTGTGGGCAGAACTATAATCCCTCTTGATTTGATTTCCTGCAGTGGTCAGGTTCCTTTGGAAATAATGTTTTCTGAATATCTTACCCTTAGGAGAGCTTCCCTTGATGGAATCTCAGATGATCAGTTTTCAGAAGAGTTAATGGATGTTATTCAGAATCAAATAGTTGGTTTAGTCCATTGCTTTTAAATAAATTGTGTTAAGGGACCTGTGGTCAAAGGGAAAATAGCTAAACAGACAGCTTTTTCAGTCACACAGCACACGGGTGGGGGAGGGGGGAGTGGTTTGTAGGGTGCACTTTTGTTCCGTTGCTTGAGGTGAAGTTTCTTTTGAGACCAGAAGGTAAGAGACATTTAAGAGGTCAAGATTTGGTGTCCAACTGCCTTTCTTGAGAAATGGCTGTATAGTATTTTAAAAGAAGTATAAGCCGCTCTGCAGAGACTTAATCCCTGAGTGCATGGTCCTAATAAAAGTTGCTTTGCTTGTATTTTTTTTCCTTCAGGTTCCTCGATTATAGTTAATATTTAAATAGACCATTTAATGGTGTTGGGAAAACATTTTATTTTAATATAAAAATGTTTGGAAACCTGAGTTGCCTATGAGTGTGTTTGGAAGTGCTTTTTGTCTTTATAATAAGATGATAATAGACTGCTCTCTTGAATATGTTAATAGTTGAAGGTACATTTTCTGTATTTTATAGAGCTAGGCTTGAGTACTGTGACATTCATGTTATATAGTATTTCTGCATTTAGTGAACTTCAGAAGGCCAAGACACTAACTTTCAGTAACTCAAGACCACTTCCAAATTATCGGGCATATTTGATGTTTTTCCCCCCTCTGCTCAAATGGCCTTGCATGCACAAGATGACTTTTCATTGTAAAATTTATGAACAGAGGAACCTGGATATGTAAGAAGCTCATTAACTAAACTTGGAATAAATAACACCTAGAACTTCTAGACCCCACCTCCTAGAGAAGAATAGAACCATATAGTCTCCCAATACCTGGCAGAGCCAGCTACCAGAAATAAAGTGGGAGGAGATACCTTTTGCTTTTACCACACCATGGTGGAGTGGAAATGCTGAAGGGTTGATGCCATACAGGACTTAAGTCTAGATTGCCTGCTTACTGACTTTGTGATCAGTAGGTTACTTGGCCTTTCCAAGCCTCAGTTTCCTTTTCTGTAATACTGGAGCTAGTGATACCTTTACTAGTTGGGTTGTTGTGATGGATATGGAACTTGCTTGGCCAGGCCCGGCATAGTACAGGAACTCACCACTGTTAGTCCCTTTCTCATCTTTCTTTTTTTCTCATTCAGAGTATGTCTCTTTAAGTACAAGACATGTGTGTTGAAAACAGCATTTTCTGGCAGTTGTAGAAACTGTGTGACTTGATATTTTGATGGCCTATTTTCCTCTCTGCTCGGTCACATTCACAAGCAGTAGATTTTAGGGATGTCCTAAACTTAAGAGAGAAAAAACCATCCCAAAACCCAGTTTGCTCAGAGCTCAGATTATCCACTCATTGAAGTTTTGGTCCTGTTTTCTTGTAGCAGAAGATGGTTTATTTTTTCCCTGTAGTAAGGCATAATGACAGTCCAGGTGCTCCTTGCTCTGAAATGGAAGCAGTGATTGTGCAGGACAGTTTCACATTGATTGGATAGGACACGCCGTCCTTTGAAGCGAGTGTTAGGCAGTAGTGCTGCAGTGCTCACACATACTGTTGAATTAATCACTGCAGAGTTCTGTTTTGACCTGTAAAGGTAAAATAAAACTGCCTCTGAGAGATACCGGCAACTGTTGGAAAAATGATGACTGTAGAACAATGGGAGGAAAAGGAGAGATAAGGTATAAGAATGGCTTTGGCAGAACTGTCTTAATGACTTTTCTTTGGACTTCTTGAATATTTGGGTCTTAGTTGTATTTCTTCTTTCAATTGGAAAGTCATAAGTAGAACACAAGAGATGGTATGTCTCACTGGTGTAAGCTGAGACCTAGATTCTTAAATTTTAGTCGTCCTGCTTTTGCTTAGAGCTCTTTTGTTTTCTAACTCCTTATATATGTCTCAAGTCAAGTACAATGTCACAGTCCTTTCATGAGGTTGGAAAAGTGTCTTTAAGATGATGTTGCTCCATAGACTGTAGAAACACTGCAGGCACAGCGTACTGACACAGTGAGAACAGTGACTTGCCGTGGTTTAGAGAGGAATGTCCTCAGTGTTTGGAGCTTTGCTACTTCCTTGTCCTGTAACTTTGGGCAGGTTGCTTTACTGTTTTGGACAATGCTTTTCTTATGTGTAAAAGGGGTGTGTTAATACCTTTGTTAGATTACTACCAGGATCAAATGAATATTACATTCAGAGTACTTAGCAGATAGTGGGCAGGCACCGAGTAAGTATTAACTGTGTCATTGTATCTCTCAATCCTCAGTCCTGAATTTGCAAACTGACTAGAGTTGTCTGTTTAATAGTAAATGAAGTATGGATAGAGTTTCTTGTAGTTCTTTGGGGGGAAATAATTTTATGAAGTAAAGCTGTTAACAATTGCTGTTTGTCATGTTCTTCAGGTTGGTAACAGGGAAGATGCTGAGAAGGAAATACCTATTGCTACCTTCTCATCTAGTACCAAGGTATCCTGCCCACTATGTGACCAAGGCTTCCCACCCACGAAGATTGAGCGACATGCCATGTACTGCAATGGGCTGGTGGGGCAAGATATAGGTAAGGACTAACTGTGTGATGGTTTTGTAATTCTGGACAATACAGTACAGGAAAAAGAGACAATTCTTCAAAGTTACAAGGGGGTTTTTTGTTTGTTTTTTATCTAGTTAATTCTTTATTACTTTTCATGTTCTTGATTACTTTGGCAGGTATGTCAATGTCATTGTGTAGCACATACCTGAGGAGAAGGGGAAGGGAAAAATCTTTTATCTTTTAATGTTGCATCTTCTTCTTTGCCATAGTTAGGCTGAAATTCATGACAGTGCCATGGAATTTGCATTTCAATTTACATGTTTAAATATTGAAACTTGTATGGAACTTGAGGAACTAAGTTCTAGAGTTGCCCATTTTCAGTTCAGAATAACTCCCTTGTTCTCAGCGGATTGAGTGCTGGCCTGCAAACCAAAGACTCGTTGGTTTGATTCCCAGTCAGGGCACATGCCTGGGTTGTGGACCAGGTCCCCAATAGGGGGCGTGTGAGAGTCAGCTGCACATTGATGTTTCTCTCCCTCTCTTTCTCCTTCCCTTCTCCTCTCTCTAAAAATAAATGAAAAATCTTTAAAAAAAGTACCTTGTAGGTTTCTGTGTGTATGTGTGTAAGTAAATTCTACCTGAAGACAGCAGTTGACAGACATTTCTAATCCCCATTTCGTGTCCTATGTGTTTTTGCTGCGTCATCCTGAAGCTGTTTCTTGTCTCTTAAAAAAAGAGTGCACCAAAACCCTAGTGTGAGATATTGGTCCTTGAAGTTCCACCACAATCTTGCTTTTCTGTTTGTGACTTTAAATTCTACATATGATACTATCAGTACAGTTTTCTGTGGTCCAACACGCTGAATGTAACCATACTTTAGATGATTGGTGGTGTTGCAATGTTTTTCTCACTGCTACTTGATTCCCATAAGTTAGAGGTATTTAATCTGAAATTGTGAGCTAGTTTAGAAGTTAAGATTTCTGGGAAAGAAAGATATGTTATTTAATTTTCCTGAAGCAATACACTTCTTATTTCTTAAATAAGGAAAATACCAAAACTTATAATTTAAATAAATTTGTTGATTTTTTTCCCGATTGAAAAGTAGTACATGTCCACTGTAGTAATCATAATCATAATCGTAATTGTGATAGTAATAATAGTAATAATGGCTTACATTTATTTATACTTAAAGTGAGTCAGGTGCTATTTACATGAGTGGGACCATGCCATGTATATATTATTGTGTAACTTGTCTTTTTTTATATAGCAGTGAATTTAGATCTTTCCATGTGCAAGTAACTTTTACATAGTTGAGGTCTATGTGTAAAGTTTTTTATTTTGCTTTCTCTACTAATAGCATAAAATTTCCTTCATGAGTAACTAAAAGTTAGATATAAAAATATTTTTAATGCCTACATAATACTTTGTGATTTGAATTGCCTCCATTTACTTAACTGTTGTGTATTTGGAATGCTTCAAATTGCCATGTACATGGCACTGAGCCTCTTATGCCTTAAGTTGTTGCTATACTTTGGGATTATTTCCCAAGGATACATTCCTAATTTGGGTGCTAGTAAAAAAGATGGGCTCTGGAGTCCAACCATGTGAGATTGAGTCCCACCTCTGTCACTTACTAGAGTGTTACCTGTGCTAGTTTCCAAGCTTCCCTTTCTTCATCTGTCTGGTAATAGTAATGACCTTACTTGGTTTTTGTGAGGTTAAATGAGATATTTTAAGGAAAATGCTTAGCACAGTACCTACCACATAGTAAGTACTTAAGAACTTTTAGCTGTTGTTACTACTCCCAGCAGTGGAATTACTAGGTCAAAGACTTTGTCGTCATTTTTAAGGATCTTTATTAATAGGATTGTAGTCTTTTAAATACAGTGAAAGGTGAAGACCTAAAACTGGTCATCAGCTTTTTTTAAATTCTCACTTGAGGATATGTTTATTGATTTTTAGAGAGAGAGAAAGGGGGAGAGTTGAATCCACAACCTAGATACATGCCCTGCGTGGGAATTGAACCTGCACCTTTTGGTGTATGAGACGATGCTCCAGTTAACTGAGCTGCCTGGCCAGGGCCATCAACATCTTTTACTAGAAGAGCACTGAAGGCCTAGGATTTTAGATGCACTTTTAATTTAACATAGTTCTTTAGTCTCATTTTTAGCAGAGAGTTCCAGTGACTGAAAGAATTCTGGGGTTGGGCATTTGGTGACCAGAAAAGGAAGAGACTGTCTTGTGTATCTCACTGAACATGCTTACCCAAGTGGTATTACTTGTCTGAGTCAACAGCCTACTCAGCATTGAGGTCCAGAAATAAATGAGTTTGAGAAGTTGCATGCCCCTTGAGCTCTAGGAATAGATGACCTTCTTCTGGTCAGAGTTATTAGATAAGGAGTAGTACAGAGCAGCTCCTACTTACACCTTCCAGACTGAACTTGGACAGTTTATGCTCAAACAGGAAGCTATAGTATTTACTGTGATCAGACATCTTTAAGCTATGTATTTGCTTTCTAAAATTTATTTATTTAAAAAATTATATTTTATTGATTATGCTATTACAGTTGTCCTAATTTTCCCCCTTTATAACCCTTCACCCAGCTCATACCACTCCCTCAGGCAATCCCCCCACCATTGTTCATATCCGTGGGTCACATGTATAAGTTCTTTGGCTACTCCATTTCCTATAGTATACTTTACATCTCATGGCTTAATCTCCTCACATGGGTTAATCTCCTCACATCTTCTCACATCTTCACCCATTCCCCCCCATACCTCCCTCCCATCTGGAAATCATTAAAATGCTCTCTGTATCCATGATTCTGGCTCTGTTCTTCTTGTTTGCTAAGTTCGCTTTTTAGATTCAATTGTTGATAGATATGTATTTTTTCCCATTTTATTTATTGTTCACAGTTTTGACGTTCTTTTTCTTTTTCTTTTTTTAAATATATTTTATTGATTATGCTATTACAGTTGTCCCATTTTTCTCCCCTTCACTCCCCTCAACCCTGTACACCCTCTCCCACCCATATCCCCCCCTTTAGTCATGTCCATGTGTCATACTTATACTTTCTTTAGCTTCTACATTTCCCATACTATTCTTACCCTCCCCCTATTTATTTTCAACCTACATTCTATGCTACTTATTCTCTGTACCTTTACCCCTCTCTCCTCCTCCCACTCCCCTGTTGCTAACCCTCCATGTGATCTCCATTTCTGTGGTTTTGCTCCTGTTCTAGTTGTTTAGTTTGCGTTTGTTTTAGGTGTGGTTGTTAATAACTGTGAGTTTGATGTCATTTTTTACTGTTGATATTTTTTATCTTCTTTTTCTTAGATAAGTCCCTTTAACATTTCATAAAATAAGGGCTTGGTGATGATGAACTCCATTAACTTGACCTTATCTGAGAAGCACTTTATCCTTCCATTCTAAATGAGAGCTTTGCTGGATAGAGCAATCTGGGATGTAGGTCCTTGCCTTTCATGACTTGGAATATTTCTTTCCAGCCCCTTCTTGCCTGCAAGGTCTCTTTTGAGAAATCAGCTGACAGTCTGATGGGAACTCCTTTGTAGGTGACTGTCCCCTTATCTCTTGTTGCTTCTAAGATTCTCTCCTTCATTTTTACCTTGGCTAATGTAATTATGATGTGTCTTGGTGTGTTTCTTCTTGGGTCCAACTTCTTTGGGGCCCTCTGAGCTTCCTCGATTTCTTAGAAGTCTATTTCCTTTGCCAGATTGGGGAAGTTCTTTATTATTTGTTCAAATATGTGCTCAATCTGTTGCTTTTCCTCTTCCCCTTCTGGTACCCCTATAATTCAGATGTTGGAACGTTTAAAGATGTCCTGGAGGTTCCTAAGCTTCTCCGTGTTTTTTTTGAATTCTTATTTCTTCATTCTTTTCTGATTGGATGTTTTTTTCTTCCTTCTGGCCCACTCTATTGTTTTGAGTCCCAGTTTCCTTCCCTTCACTATTGGCTCTCCGTGCATCTTCCTTCATCTCTTTTATGGTAACCTGCATTTTTTCATGTAATTTGTGCCCAAAATCAACCAATTCCATGAACTTCCTGATCACCAGTGTTTTGAACTGTGCATGTGATAGATTGGCTATTTCTTGGTCGCTCAAAAGGATGAGTCCTGGGGTACTGATCTGTTCTTCTGTTGGACACATGTCTCTCTCTCTCCTTTTTTAAATTTTTTTTAATTTTTTTTTTCCGGGTCTGGTTGCTCTTGTTACAGTGAGGGGCGGAGCCTTAGGTGTTCCCCTGGGCTGGGCACCCCAGTCACTAGATTGTGACGTTGTATGTGGGTGCGAGCATGGGCGGGAACAATGGCAGTAGCTTCAGTCTCCTGGGATCTCAGTCCCTTCTCTGGGATCCTGGGTTGCGCGCTCTGCCCTGGTTCACAATGCTGCCTCACTGGGTCTGCCAGCCGCCACCTGCGTACTCAGGGTCCACCGCTGCGTCCCGGAAGGCCTACGCGCTCCCGGTTGCTCCACGCGCCCAGTTCTCCCCAAACTCTGCGCTGCACGACTCGCTCCCGCTCTTCCTCTCAGCCCCTCCTATTGGTCTGGATGAACGGGTCTACTTCAACTTCTTGGCTGTCCGACTTCCATTCAGATAAATTCTCTATCAGTTCTGGGTGTTATCCTGGCTCTAAATTGTTGTTGTTCTAATCTTAGTTGTGTGTGGAGGTACGGTGCGTCCACCTATGCCTTCATCTTGTCGGAAGTCCTCTTTTTCTTAAATAAGTTCCTTTAACTGTTCATATAATAATGGTTTAGTGAGATGAACTCCTTTAGTTTTTTCTTGTCTGGGAAGCTCTTTATCTGCCATTTGATTCTAAATGATAGCTTGGCTGGGTAGAGCGATCTTGGCTGTAGGTTCTTGCTTTGCATGACTTGGAATACCATATTTTGCCATGTATAATGTTTACTTTTTGGCCAAATTTTTTAGGGAAAAATAAGGGCACACATTATACATGGGTTTTACTAATTATCTATATAAATGTTTTTAATTCTTTTATTTATGC